CCATGTGGGAGTCCAGCACCTTTAACCACCATGCCACTTGCCGGCCCCACCATACGTCTTTAACACCCCTTGATTTTTGTTGTTGTTGTTGTTGTTGTTATAAAGAACACCACTGTTGGCTTTTATTATATAGGGCCAAATTGTATCTCCCATGTACCCAAATTCATATGTTGAAGTTATAACATCCTGTACCTCAGAATGTGATTGTATTAGGAGACAGAGTCTTTAAAGAGGTAATTAAGATAAAATAAGGTAAAATAAGAAGAGGCGATTAGAACACAATGCACATGGGACCAGAAGGTTCCATAATGGCTTTGTCGCTGGACTTCCATGTAGTTGACTGTGGTTCGAGTCCAGGACCCAGTGACTTAAACTCACACCAGGCGCATGTGCATGCGTTCCCAAGATCCCGAGAGGAGAATGAAGGAGAAGGGATTGCAGCTTGGCCATCCCCCTTGGGAGGGGTGATTTCTCACTTTCTGTCTCTCTGTCCCTCTTTGTCTTTCTGGCTAACGCATGTGCCCTATAGCAAAAGTCATTTAAAACAAACAAATAAACAAAACAAAAACAAAAAACACAATGCACAGTACAAGGGGTGACCATCTCTTAGCTAGGGAGAGAGGCCTCAGAAGAAACCAAACCCACTGATACCTTGATCTTGGCACCTCCCCTCTACAACTGTGAGAAATAAATTTCTGTTGTTTAGGTTACGTCTGTGGTATTTTGCTATAGCAGCTCTAGCAAATCAATACAGCTTCTCATTTATCTTGTTCCTAGGGATGCCATCGTTTATTATCCATCTCTACAGAGTCCTGCAGGTCAGAGTTCCAGCTTAACTATTCTAGACTTGCTGTCCATCGTGGTTATTATACTCACCTTGACTCTGAGTTCACTGTTAAAACTTGGCCTCTGCTACTTTAGATTCCTGTCATCCCCATCAAGACCAAGGAGCCTAATTGCACAGCAGTCTCCCCCATCACGAATCCTGACCCATAGAAGACTGCCACCAGTAGAATTTTTCAGCACTGCCAGTAACATTATCTTCATTGTCTTAACAAAATAGTTGTCCTCGCGGGCCCTCCCAGGGGACTTTGTCAACTGCTGTGTTTTCTGGTTTTACATAATAGAGCCATTCTAATTTACCCATTTCTGTGAACCTTTTGACCCCTTTCTCGGCCAAAGCACTTCCAACAACTCTCCTTAATTTATTGTATAGAGTCCTCGTATCCAAGTTTCAAGTTTACAGCAGCATACTAGGACTGGCTCCAGGGGTTCTTACCAGGATGTTCAATCCTGAGTCATGGGAGAGTGTTCCAATATCTATAAACTCTCCTATAATTCAGCTCTGTATTGCTTGCTGGTCTAGCAATCTCAAGATCCATTCCCAGTTTATTCTCCTCTTTCCTGCAAATCCAGATTCACAAGTCCTGCAACTATTCAGAGAACAGTCTCTTTTCTCTCAGAGTAGAAATTGTATTTTCCTTCTTGGGCCATGCTAGGAATTGTCCCTCATTATTCGTCTATACTAGAAGTGCACTGAGGTGGGGGCAGATCTTCTGGAAGACAAACATCATTCTTCTATGTAACTCTACCACTCTTACAATCTAGAATTTGATTTTTAGTTTAGAGTTCTTTCTTCCAAAAGAGATTTTTTAAAAAGATAAAAGTTTTTTTTATGAAGACCTTTATTTTCACAATGTTCCTTGACTTAATAGTTGGCTGGCCAAACTTAGCATTTTCTTCCTTTAGGGCTTCTATGGTCATTAACAATAGGAAGCCAATTCCATGAATCTTAAAATGTCTCAAAAGCTAGAGCTATCACATAGGCTTTTCTTCCTCTTGTTTTTGTTTTGTTTTGTTTTGCAAGTGAGAAATCACCCTCAGGAGGGATGGCCACACTACAGTCTCTTCTCCCCTGTTCTCTTCTAAGGATCTTGGACATGAATGCACATAGGGTGGGTATGATTTTCAAACTGCTGGGTCCTGGACTGGAACTACGAAGTTGGCCCTTTTGGATCCAGCTGCCTCAACCTCCACATCATCTGCTGTCTCTGCCTCCATTTTTTAAAAAATTGCCATAGGGCACACTTGTGGCTTTGCCAGAAAGAGAAAGCATTCCCAACGGGGTGTGGTCTCTGCAATCTCTTCTCCATTTCACCATCCTGTCCAGATTTGGGGCATGCATGTACATGCACCTGGCATGTTTTTCAAGCCATGGGGGTCAGGATTGAAAGCGTGGTTGACTATGTGGGATCTATCTCCCTTAATCATTAGGGAGGTCATAGGGCTGGCCAGCTTTCCTCCACTTATACCCCATCCCAATCTCAGAAATTATGATGTGAAAACATACTGGGGATTGGCACCACCCTGCTTACTATCAGTCAGTGACATTTTTCTTTTCAAGAATTTAAGTGGGAACCAGCAGTTAGCGTAATGGCTATGTCACTGGATTCCCACGTAGTAGACCGCGGTTCGCGTCCCAGACCCGGTGGCTTAAAACTCACGCCGGGCGCGTTTGCGTGCGTGCCCAAGATCCCGAGAGGAGAATGGAGGAGGAGGGATTGTGGTGTGACCATCCCCCCTGGGGGGTGATTTCTCGCTTTCTGTCTCTAATGTCTCTCTCTGTCTGTCTGGCGAGCGCATGCGCCCTACAGTGAAAATCTCTCCAAAAAAAAAAAAAAAGAATTTAAGTGATTCAATTCCAGAATTTCATCCTGAGGGTTTACTTCAAAGGACTACTCCTGATATTAACTGTCTTACTTTGGGTGAAACATAATCCTCAGATAAGTGTTTGAGAGAAAGTGGTTTATTTTGGAGGTAATCCCAGGAAGCAATGGAGGGAATTAAGGTAGGAAAGAAATGGAAAACAATACAAGATCTGTTAATGAGCAGGGTAGTGCTGTGGGCAACTGAGACTCAATTCCATTGGGATTTCAGGAAGACTAAATAGAGCATGCCCCAGAGTTTTCCACTCAGGGAACAAAAGAAACTGGGCTATTTTCCCTCCAGTCAGGTCCATCATTGATTGAGGGTTGGTCCTATGGGCCTTAACTCCTTAGCACTTCTGGCCTTCCTTGTACCTTGGCTAAGCACACTCCTGTGGCCTGAAAGTTCTTGGGCAGAGAAAGTTCTTGGGCAGAGAGTCGCAGGTGCTTGCAATAAGAAATCAGTGGCCTGTAAAGAAACAATGATTGCCTAGGGGAAAAATGGGAGGCGCATCAACAGAGTCAGCTGCAGTGGTGGGAGGGAGTTACTTTTCTTTCTTTCTTTTTTTTTGTAATTTCCAGAGGGTACGTGTGCTCCCAGAGAGAGACGAGAGTAGGAGGAGGAAAGAAAGCACTCCCCCCAATAGGGCATGATAATACTGCAGCCCCTTCTCCATTTTTCCAACCTGTTAGGATTCGGGGCTCAACATACTTCTCCAGCCACTGTGTCTAGAATTCAAACTGTGGGGTCAGCTACGTGGGATCCAGCTCCATTAACCACTGAGCCCTGAAGCTGCTCCTCACTTTTTCTTCATATAAACTTACATTCTTTTTCTGGTTGAGGTGAGCTTGTGCCTGTGCATGTTCCTAGGGGCAGGAAAATGAAAGATTTTCTCCTTTAGATTTTGAAATAGGTGGTTTGGTACTGCAGTCCACCAACGCTGTGCATGCTAGGGGTTTTCCCCTCAAATAGAGAACGGGATTAGATGTTGAACAGGAAAGAAAGAGGGAGGGAGGGTAGAAAGAAGGAAGGAAAGAAGGAAGAAAGAAAGGAAGATTCATGAGCAGGTCAGGTCTCAGTTATCTCTCTATAGCCCCTTGTACTTTAACCTTCTTATCACTCAGAGATGCTTTTGTCTGTAAATAACAGTATCTATATAAATACAATGGCTTAAATATATGGGTTTAGGGCCAGCTAGGTGGTATGGAGGGTAAGGTGCTGGATCTCACATGGCTGACTGCGTGTTTTGAGTCCTGGACTCAACACCTTGAAAATCACTCTGGGCATATGAGCTTACGTGTGCAAAATTCTGAGAGAAGAATGGAGGAGAAGAGATTGCAAAGTGGCCACCCCACCCCCACCCCATAGATGTTTTCTCATTCTCCTCCCCTCTGTCTCTCTTCAGCTAGCATATTCACGCTATAGGGGGAAAAAGGTTTATGGGTTTATTTTCTCATAGATCAGAGGTCAGGGACTGCTGGCATTTGTTCAGCAGCAGCTCAACAGTGTCAGGGGCTGATGGCTTTGCAGTTCTCTTGGCCTTTCCCTCAGTGCCACTAGATGACTTTTACATTTGCACATTCAAGGCAAGAAAAGGAAGAGATAGCATCCGTATCAAGAAAGCAAAAGGTTTCCCAAAGCACTCATGCAGAAGTTCCCTAGGACTGCTGTAACAAATTACCACACACTTCCTGGCTTAAAAGAATACACAGTTCGAGATGTTAGAAGTCCGTAACAAATCTTGCTGGACTAAAATCACAGGCTTACATTCCTTCTGGAGGCTCTAGGAGAATATGGGTTTCCTTGCCTTTCCCAGCTTCTAGAGGGGGCCTAAATTCCTTGACTGGTAGCTCCTCACTTCTCAGCCAATAGTCACATCTCTCTGACTTCTGTTTCTGTCACCACATTTTTTCCTGACTCTTCTGCCCCCCATCTTCCACATATAAGGACCCTTGGGATTCTTTTCTGCCTACCTGAATAATTCAGGTAATAATCTCCCCATTTTGAGATCAAGTGATTAGCAACCTTAGTTATATTTGAAACCTTAATTCCCCTTTGCTATGTAACCTGACATATTCACAGGTTCTGAAGACAAGAACATTTTTTTTGGGGGGGGAGAGTGTGGAAGGGCCTACCCAAATCCATTATGTATCATTGGCTAAAATTCCAACTGGATGAGACAGTAAAATGGGATTGGGTGTGAGAGTGGGGTCAGCTGAATGGCAGTGTCTGCCATACTTGCTAGCATGTCTTTGTTTGTAATTATATATTTATCGTATAATTTTCTCCCCTAGTAGGTCATGTATTCCATGAGAGCAAGGATCAGGTATGTTTCATTCACCATTTTATTTTCAGCATACAATGCAGTACCTGACACATGGTAGCTAGGTATTACAAATGGAGTCAGGATGGTTTAGTCTGGCTCCCTCACCTTCTGTCTTGCTTCTTATCATGCTTGAAGGCCACGGGGTAGACAACTTACAGTATTTGTTTTAGTGCGCTTGCATGCTTGTTATGTAATTATGACTTTGCTGTTTTATGCCACCGAATATAAGGTGCATGTTGTGTGTGACAGTTTGGTTTCAGCAATGAGCCACTGTTGTCTGCAGTCCCTTTAAGATAAAAGGAGCACTGCCCTGTACTGTGTCACCCAGTTTTGCCCCACCCTGCTATGCCCTGCTAGAACTACCTGCTCTGCTCAGCCTTGGTTCAGGCTGGTGGACCCTGATGGCCTTGGCTTGGTGGGGCCTTGGCTCAGCTTGGTTCAGCTCCACGCACTGTGAGCGCCAAGAGGGAGGAAGCACTCTGAGTGTTCTCCATGTGTGTTACTAACTCCAAGCGCCTCAAGCACGGCTATGTATGGACTTTGCAAGCCTAAGAGCTTTGTGGGCTCCCACTAAACTCAGCCAATAAGCAACATGACATCAGTGCATTGTGTCTTTTTCCAACTCCCTGCATCTCCGTTCGACTCATCCTTTGGAGGAATAAAGAAACTCACTAAACAAGCTGCTCAATATATTTTTAGTGCATAAAGGAATACATGAACAAGTATGCACACATGCATACATGCATATTCATTTCTTTTTTTTTTTCTTTTTTTTTTTGTTTTTGGAGAGATTTTCACTGTAGGGCGCGTGCGCTCGCCAGACAGACAGAGAGAGACATAGAGACAGAAAGCGAGAAATCACCCCCCAGGGGGGATGGTCCCGCCGCAATCCCTTCTCCGCCATTCTCCTCTCGGGATCTTGGGCACGCACGCACACGCGCCTGGCGTGAGTTTTAAGCCACCGGGTCCGGGACACGAACCACGGTCGACTACGTGGGAGTCCAGCGACATAGCCATTACGCTAACTGCTGGTTCCCACATGCATATTCATTAAAGCATTGAGGGGTCAGATAAGAACTGGAAACAATGTCACTGTTCATCTATAAAAATAGATTTAATAAATAAATTGCTTTGTCCACAATAAATCCCTAGTACATTTATTAAAAAAAATTTTGCCAGAGGGCCTTTGTGCTTGCTAGAGAGAGACAGAGACAGAGAAGGAAAGTGAGAAAGCACCCCCCTGTGGAATGGTCATACCAGAATCCCTTCTCTTTCATTTTCCCCTACTTTTGGGATTTTGGGCACACACACACACACCTGGTGTGTTTTTTAAGTCACCAGGTATACGACTTGAACTGCGCAGTTGGCCAGCTGGGATACAGCCACTTTACTTACCACTCCACTAACTGGCCCAATCCCTAGGAGACTTATACAATGAAATACTATACAGCCTCGATAAACAATCAGGTAGGTCTTAAATGCAGTGACATGAAAGAATGCTTATGATTTATCATTAAGGGAAAATGGAAATTGCATAACAGCACATATTGTATGAACTTATTTGACAAAGAATAAACTGGAGCTTATCTCCCCAGAGAAAAAAGCACATGAAGAACCAAAAGGAAGTGACCAGCAGTTAGTGTAATGGCTATGTTGCTGGACTCCCATGTAGTCGACCGCAGTTTGCGTCCCAGACCTGGTGACTTAAACTCACGCTGGGCGCATGCGTGTGCGTGCCCAAGATCCCAAGAGGAGAATGGAGGAGAAGGGATTGTGGCATGGCCATCTTCTGTGGGTGTTGATTTCTCGCTTTCAGACAGAAAGGGTGCGAGCGTATGCACCCTATAGCAAAAAACCAAAAACCAAAAACAAAACAAAACAAAAAAAAGAACAAAGAATCCAAGTTCTTGGCTTTTTTTTTTTTTTTTTTTTGAGAGGTGCTATAGGGCATGTGCACTCACCAGAAAGAGAGAGAGAGAGAGAGAGAGAGAGAGAGACAGAAAGCGAGAAATCACCCCCCAGGGGGGATGGCTACGCCACAATCCCTTCTCCTCCATTCTCCTCTCAGGATCTTGGGCACGCAAGCACAAGTGCACAGCATGAGTTTAAGTCACTGGGTCCCGGACTCAAACTGCTGTTGACTACATGGGAGTCCAGCGACACAGCCATTACGCCAACTGCTGGTCCCCTTGACTTTGAATTCTTACAGGAACACATACTAAGTACATTCCTATCTCATGGTCTTTGTACTGACTGTTCCTTCTGCCTATTAATACTCCTCCTCACACATTAAACTACTAATATGAATTATCATAATTGATAGCTTGCTCTGTTCGTTCATTGAGGTCTCTGTCCAATGTTGTCTTCTTAGAGATGTCTGTCTCTACCACCTATCAGAAATAGCATGCCCTATCACTCTCCATACCCTTGTTCTGCTTTATTCTTATGATGCTATATATGTATTTGTTTAATTATTTAGTGTATCTCTTCTCTTCTTAAACATAAGCCCCATGAGGCCAGAGATCTAGGTGATTCTGATGTAGGACTACCTCACTTTAGGAACCATGTCTAAGCTTAGAGCAGCAGTTCTCAAAATATGGTCTCCCAACCAGCAACATCAGTATCACTTGGGAGCTTGTTAGAAACGAAAAAAAAAAAAAAAACAACACAAATGATCAAGCCCCGGCACAGCCCTACTGAATCAGAAACCCTGGGAGTAGGGCCCAGCAGTCTGTGCTTTAACAAGCCCTCCAGGGGATTCTGATGCACACTGACATTTGAGATCCACTGACTTTGCTTTTCTTTTCTACTCAGCATTTCCCCAGCTCTCTTCTTAGATATCTTTTCCAGGTAGAAAGATGTACCAAACCTCCTACTTCAAAATCCAAAAAAGAAAACTTCCATCTCCCTGCCCCTTGGCATGTGCACTGGCATGTGCACTCACACGTGCTCACCTCAACCTGACGTAGAGAAGTGGAGGAGAAGGAATTGTGGTGTGACCATGTCCCATTAGGGTGTGCTTTCTCCCTCTCCCTCTCGGTCTGGTCTCTGTCTTGCTCTCAGATGAATGCATATGCATTCTGGCAAAAAAAAAAAAAAAAGATGTCAACTCGTTCCCCTGTTCTCTCCTCTGTGGTGCTCTTCAGAATGTTTGAAATAAGATACAAAAGCTGAAATACTGTATTTAACTTAAAATTTGCTTGAATTTCTCTGTCTAGAAAAAGGGCTAGGGCCAGCAGGTACAACGTTTGTTAAAGCAGTGGACTCCCACAGGGCTGACTATGGTTTCAGTCTTGGACCCAGCGGCTTGAAAATCATGCTGGGTGCATGTGTGTGCATGCCCAACATCCAGAGAGGAGAATGGAGGAGAAGGGATCGCATCATTGCCATCCTCCTTGGTGGTGGTGGTGGTGGTGGGGGGTGATTTCATACTTTCCCTCTTTCTGTCTCTCTCCTCTCGGATGAGTGCAAAAACCTAAAAAAATACGATATAATAATAATAATAATAAAAAAAAGACTGACCAGCATTTGGCATAATGGCTATTTCGCTGGACTCCCATGTAGTCAACCGTGGTTCGAGTCCTGGACCTGGTGGCTTAAACTCACACCAGGCGAGTGTGCGTGTGTCCCCAAGATCCGAGAGGAGAGTGGAGGAGCAGGGATTGCTCCTCCCTGGGGGGTGACTTCTCACTTTCTGTTTCTCTGTCTCTGTCTCTCTGGTGAGTGCACGCGCCCTGTAGCAAAAACCTCACCAAAAAGAGAAAAAGGGCTAATGAGCTTTCTGCAGAAGGCTAGGAAGTAAGTATTCTTGTCTTTGCGGGCCAGTCTGTCACAACTACACAACTCTGCTATCATAATGTGAAAGAAATGATAGACAGTATGTAAATGAATGAGCATGGCTGTGTTCCACTAAAACTTCATTTCTGGACACTGAAATCTGAATTGTTGGCAATCTGGTGGACATAATGTGTATGTAATATGAGGCTATTTTGTATTTCTCTGATTTTTCATTTTTCCTCTTCTTTGAAGTGCTTGACATGTCTTTTGTCCCTTTTTCTATCTGCTGAAGGCAAATCATTCCAGTGGACAGTAATCTTGGTCATTCACTTTGTATGGAGTGAAATAACGCCTGACATTTGGATATACAGTGAATCCTGGCAGTGGCGAATGTCTTGGCTCATTGGACAGAGGCATAGAAAGAGCAATGCTGGAATAGCAGTGGCAAGGATGTGTGGGAAAGATATGTCGATGGACCACTTGGAAGGGGCAGATCTTTGTGTTTCAAATGAACATCTGCCAAAGAACATCTATTGCAGAGGAGATTCTCAACAGCCAGGTGGATAAGATGGGCTGTCCTGTGGATGTCAGCATCCTTTCTCCTTGGCTGCTCCCCTACTCGTGCAAGGGGCCCATGGACTGGTAGTTACATAGGCAAGGGTGGAGGCTGTGTGGACCTGGCAGCATGGACTTCCGGTTATTTTCCACTGTGATGGTTGGTTTCCATGGTTGATTAAGCTACTGCCGCTGCAAAGTGCCCAAGGAGAGAACAGCTGAGACCAATGCTGATATATTACCAGTGACTGAAGGGACACTAGCCAGCCACCTTGTTGCAAGTTAATTGCATTGGGCCTCCTCCGCCTTGGAGGCAATAGTGAGATCCCTTGAAGGAATCAATACGTCATTCAATTTTGGGTCTGCCTTGCCTGCCTGCACTGCCTAACCAATCTTACTGCTTCCTCTTTTTTGTCACACTCCAGTAAACTCTTTACACTCATAACTCAGTTTCAGCTTCTGCTTCCTAAAGAATGCAATCTGTGTGGGACTGGCAGGGGGGGTGGGGGTTAGGGGGCCGGACTTCCACATGGTTAACCGCAGTTTGAGTCCCAGACCTGGTGGCATGCTTTTTCACTTCCCTCTCTCTCTGTCTCCTTCTGTATCTCTCTGGGCAAATTAAAGAAATAGAATTAAATAACTCATTCTTTAAAAAAAGAATGCAATCTGTGACAACGTTTTTGCTAAGGGGAAATGGGACATTTATAATGTGAGGCATGCATGGAATGGTGATTAGTCAAATTATCATCCATGGTGGCTTGACATAGGATGCAATTGGAGGACAAAGCTTTGGGAAATCAAGTGGCTAGAGCTTTTAGTCCCCATGGTGACAATGATGATTGCGTAGGATGTAGCTAAGGCTGTTTCTGATGACCCTGGAGAGCTTACACAGAAGGGAGGACAAATTGAAAGCCTTGAATGCACAACTTAGATCACAATGGAATATCAAAGAGCCTCAATGCTAGCATTAAGGTGGTTTTTATTCTCCTGGAACAGCAGGACTGATATGCCTGAATATCACACTTAGGGACTGATTATAAATGTCGTAGAGGTGCAGCAATTAAAGGCAGAGCCTGGCCAAGACACAGGCTAAGTTGAAGACACTCCTGAAAAAAGAACAGGACCCTAACATATTGGATGGAAATATTTGGACATAAACAGTTAAGTCCGAGAAAAATTGAACTTCCAGGGGACCATTAGATGACATGGTGGTTGGGACGCTGGACACTCCCATATGACCAACCATGGTTTGAGTTCTGGACCTGGTGGGTTGCTTTCTCACTTTCACTCTCTGTCTCTCTCTGGTCAAAATAAAAACTAAATGCATGAATAAATACAATTAAATAAGTAATTATTTTAAAAATTTAACTTCCAAATTGACTTGATTTTTTTTTTTTTTTGCCAGTAGAAACAGTACTACATCCTGGGAACCAGTAGTTAGCATAGTGGCTATGTCGCTGGACTCCCACATAGTTGACCGCGGTTCACGTCCCGGACCCAGTGGCTTAGAACTCACGCTGGGCGCGTGTGCGTGCATGCCCAAGATCCCGAGAGGAGAATGGAGGAGAAGGGATTGTGGCATGACCATCCCCTCTGGGGGGTGATTTCTTGCTTTCTGTCTCTATGTCTCTCTCTGTCTGTCTGGCGAGCACATGCACCCTATAGCAAAAACTTCTCCAAAAAGAAAAAAAAAAAAGAAAGAAACACACAGGTGTGGGCCTGTACCATAGCATAGTGCTTAAGGTAGCCAGATCCCACAGGGCTGACCACAGTTCATGACTTTTTTTTTTTCTTGAGAATTTTTGCTGTAAGGTGTGTATGCTTGCCAGAGAGAGATAGAGAGAGACAGAGAGACAGAGAGTCAGGGAAATAGAAAGCGAGAAATCACCCCCAGCGGGGATGGCCATGCCACAGTCCCTTCTCTATTCTCCTCTCAGGATCTTGGGCATGCATGCACACGTGCCTGGTGTGAGTTCTACACCACCAGGTTCAGGACTACAGTTGAGTAAGTGGGCTTCCAGCAACGCAACTGTTATGTCATCTGCTGGTCCCAAGGGCTGACCACAGTTCAAGTCCTGACCCCAGCAGCTTAAAAAATATGCTGGCCTCATATACGAGTACCCAAGACCTTGATGGGGTGGAGAATTGGAAGCAAAATGATTGAGGTGTAAACATGCCCCAATGGGGGTTGCTTTTCTCTCTGATGAACATACACACACCCTCTGGCCAAAAAGAAAGAAAGGAAAGAAGGAAAGGAAAGGAAAGGAGAGGAAAGGAAAGGAAAGGAAAGGGAAGGGAAGGAAAGGGAAGGGAAGGGAAGGGAAGGGAAGGGAAGGGAAGGGAAGGGAAGGGAAGGGAAGGAAAAGGGAAAGGAAATACCCAGGTGGTGAGAGGAGCACCAGTGTTATTGAAAAGCTCTGTGGCATATCCTCTGTCAACCAGAGATGGCGACGGGAGATGCTTCAGTGGAACTGGGCTCCCTGATTTCAATAAGAATGATAGGGTCCTGAAGGGTCCAGATGATAGTACTCAACTGTCAGAACTAAGGTGGATAAAAGGGAGCCAGCAGGTGGTGTAATGGTTATGGTGCTGGACTCCCACATGGTCGACTGCAGTGTGAATCTCGGACATAGAAGCTTGAAAATCATGCCAGGCATGTGTGAGTGCATGCCCAAAATCCCAGGAGGAAAATGAAGGAGAAGTTATTGCAGGATGCCAAACTTCCCTGGGGGGCGATTCCTCACTCAGTCTCTCTCTGGCAAGTGCCTTATAGCAAAAACCAAAAAAAAAAAAAAAAAAGGATGTAATTTACATAATAAAGTACAGGGAAGGGTAATAATCTATGTGTTTCACCTCCACCTGTTGCAGTGAGGGATTATGGAATTCCTTATGAATGAAATAGATGTGATATATTGAAGTAGAAAAATTCTACGTCTGCTAGATGCCTAGATTCTTGTTCTGTTGCCAGATCTACTAAGCCAGTTCATAGAGCTGAAGCTCCTTGATTAAGAGGGAGAACACTATCAATTAAAAATAATTATAGTAATAACAAATACAATTAAATAAAATTTTTTTGGAGAGGTTTTTGCTATAGGGTGCGTGCACTTGCCAGACAGACAGAGAGACAGAAAGCGAGAAATCACCCCCCAGGGGGGATGGCCACACCGCAACCCCTTCTCCTCC